CCAAAGGTTTGGACTTATCACCATCATTCATGAAGTTCTGGCCTGGTACAGACAGACCCTGGAAGGACCCTGAGTTTCAGCGAATGCTCCCAGCAGTCCAATACACTCTTGTCCTGAAACGACAGCCCGCTTACACCATGGTCTGTCCTGAATTGTCTAGCAAGGGTATTACTGGCAACAAAGATAAGGAGCAGCTCTGGGGGCCAAACCCACAGATCAGCTGTAGCACATTTAGTCGCCCTTGCTACTTCTCCAGGAAGCCACACTGTTCCCTACCCCCCCTGCCACTTCCTAGGTTTCAGAAAGAGTGCATGAAACAGGAGTGGAAGAGGAGGAAATACTAGTCTCTTTTTTTTTTTTTTCCTTAAAAAAAGGCTGTTTTGTTTCTTCCCTGTCTCAAAAGCCCAAAATTAACCTTGGAGAGTGCTCGGCTCTAGCTGTTGTACCTAGCTCTGGGTATGAACCATTTGCTCTGCACCTCGCTCCAGCTCTGAGGTGGCTGCTGCCTCAAGTATGCTGTGTGAACTGCCCTGTCGTGCTATTCCAGTCAAACCATCAAAGCAATACAAACTGTGGGGCTGGGGCAGAGCAGGAAGCAGCACTAGGGCCATGGGCCCTGTGGGCTGAAACCAAATTCATACACTCTGTTAGAAACACCAAAATAATCTTTCCGGACACTTTCACAACACTAACTACAAGGACACTCAGTTCTCAATAGGTTTCTCTCTGCCCGAGGGTCTGGCTAAGTAACGATCACTTTGCCTGCAGATTTGGGTTTACTTTGGCAAACAGAATGGTGTTTGGGTGTTCCTGCAATAATATCCTGGCTGCCCTCAAAAACAACTCCAACTGACTTGAAGAGCCCAAGTTAATGCAGGAAAACAAGGGGTGTGCTAGAGACACCAGTCTTCCTTTGTTAAAGCTGCTGTTCCTAACAGTATTGCTAATAGGGCAATGCTAGCTAGTTCAGAAACAATCTGGGTTAAAAAAAAAAAAACCAAACATCTTTTCAGTAAGCCTGGAACAACAGGGCTCCAATCCAGTTGGGCCCCACAGTCCTGCCATAAAACAAAAAACACTACTGGGAAAAAGAGGTGCATGAAACAAGCATTTCCTGCCCTACAGAGCTACTGGCACATCCTCACGGGTGCAGAGCTGCTGTGATGGTCAACTACAACAGCACTTCCCATTTCCACCAGCTCCGCTTCTGCTGGCTGAAGTCACTCTTCACTGCCTACAGCCCTGCAGAGGCAAAAGCCATGGGAGAGCCAGCGGGATTCCAGTCTTGGCTCAGGTTTCAAATAGAATCATGAAACTAAACTCCAACTGGATTCAATGTTGGCTTTTGCATTGAGCAGAATGGCTGGCAAAGTTGTAATTCATGAATCTTTGTTTCTCTTACGTTAGCCAGAAAGGACCTAGTTTGGATTTTCAGGCCCCAGTCTGGGTTTGCAAAGAGAGGGGGAAAAAAAAATACAGCATCTCTACACTTGTACACTGAGCGCACATGATTTGAGAGTCACTGAGATATCACCATGAAACCCCACAATGACACTCCTCCAGTCACTTTTCAGAAGAGAACTACATTTTAAAAAGAGAGACTAAAACAAAGGAAGAAACAATCCTTTTAAGACTGACTTTTTAAAATAGACAAGCCTTGCTGCTAGTGTGTCATGATCAAAAAGATAAATGCTTAGTTTCCTACCACAAAACATTCCCCCCACACCCCTCAAAAAGCCAGCCCACATATCTGCAAGGTTCTGCATCTCAACCGGATAACAGTTAACTCCCTCACTCACTTGTGCACAAAGTAGTACTGGCCAGGAGGCATCTTGTTAACCATTTCATGTCAGAGGAAGATTTATTAGGTTACAAAAGTAACCTAATTTGCAAAGATTCAAAATAGGAAGTGTCAGTTAAGTCCCCTTTGCAAGGATACGACTGTTTTCATTTACAGTTGGATTGGGGGGGGGGGAGGTGAACCCACAAAAATAACTGAAGAAAAGTGTTGAGACAATTCCTTGGTCTCAGAAATCTCAGCAGGTAAGCAGTGAAGTGTCAAAGAGAGAAAAGCAGAATGAAGTTCCAGTGAAAGAACAAGTCTGTTCTTTTACCTACACAAGATTTCTGCTGCTTCTCAGATTTTGGCTAAGCCTAGACATATCCAAGAAGAGTTTTCTTTCAGTATTTAAAAGACTAAGTTGGGTGGAAGGATATAGGCAATCACAGCTGTATTTTTAAAAAGTCAGTCAAAACTAACCTCCTCTAAAGGTTCAGGATGACAAATTGAAGCCAAAAGTTTTTCAAACTTGGGTGTCTGAAATTAAGCTTCTAAGGCCAGTCACTTCAATCAGTGGACCTGATTTTCAGATACCTTAGGCACATCTACACATCTGCTTTAATGCACCGTAGCCTAGTCTACCGCACATTAAAGCGGCACATAAAAAATGTGCTTATAAGCTAATGCGCAGTAGAATAGGCTATAATGTGCACTAAGCATCACCTGAAAAGCATGTGCTTGCGCTAGCGTACATTAGCACTGTCTAATGTGCATTTATTTAGTACCTCGTGTTGGAGGTATTAAATTTAATGCGCATTATGAAAAGCGTGTTAATGCATGCATAGATGCCCCGTTGAGGACCAGTGACTTCCAGCAATAAACAATGAAAGATACAGGTGTTCCAGCACACTTTCAGGGACACACACAGAGAACAGGAAACAAGTATAACTCAAAGGCCCCAAATCTGACATACTTAATCTTAGGTCTGTATTTATTTTAAGCCATCTTCTCCCCTCATTTTTCACTACACCTCCCCTAACACCTTCTCTCTGGCCTCCTCCTCTGCACTTCTTCATCATTAAGACTTGGAATTGGGACAGTGTCCCATATTCTTTGTTTGATGTGCGTTTGCACTTAAATACCCAAGATACAGAGCCTGCCATACTGCTCTGAAAGTGCTATGGCCTGGTGGAAATCAGTTTGATTCTGACAGCTTCTGAATGAATGGTGAATCTCTGCAGGGGTTTAGGTTGTAGCCATGTTGGTCTAAGGACATGGTGAATCTCTGTATACTTTGAGCTGCCACATCCAATTAGAGGTAAAACCTGCTTTCAATGAAAGATTTGGGGACATTCCAAACCTTTGTAAAAAGCAGATGTTTGGAGCTGAAGAGCTAAATTCTGCAGGCCAGAAGCCAAGCCCTCCAGTGGAGTAGCTGCAGAGAGGCAGTACTTACTACTTAGGACCTCCACAAGAGTGAAGGTCCAGAGCTCAGCATCGAGGGAAACTGCAGCTAACACAAACCCAACAGAGCAATACCCCACAGAGAGGGTAAAAGAGGTGAAACCATGGAAGAAAACAAGATTGCACTTCAGCCTGTACTGTTCCACAGTCCACACTTCAGGATTTGTCATCATCTTACCCTTCTTATTTTCCATAGGAAGAAATCTATTTAAATATCTTGAATTATAAATATAAACTGTAATAGAGAAAAATAAAGAAGAAAGGAAGACCGTGTGCAAGAACAGATGCTAAACTATCAACTCAAAGGAAAGCAATTCTTCAAAGCCCCAGAGAAGTGTCACAGGTAGTCCACCACAAATCAAGGCCTTTTTAAGTATATCAGGCAGGGTCTGTAGAACTGCAGACAGATTTCCTTGGCAAAGATTTTTTTAAACTCTCAAAGAGGAGTGCTCCAGGGGGTCACAGATATTGTAAGGAGAATGAGAGTGGGGGAAAAATTATTAATAGGACCCTTGAACCAAGAATTTCTCTTACTTTAGAGGAGGAATAAAAGTGAAAGAATTTAGAGGTCTACTAGCCTCTTCCCAGTCCTTCTACTGTCTACTTTGTGCCCTTCAGTCTGACCAGAGAGCAAAACTAGGCGATTAGTGCTCACTTCCAATTCAGGTCTGACTGGTTATTGCATGCCAGGCCTGTGAGATTATCTCTGGATTTCTAGTACTGCCAGGCAGCATTTCACTCATCCTGTGAGCCCTTCTTTCCACAAAGAGATGGCAGAGTTAACTGAACAGTTGGGGGGCAGTAGCTGTATTACTGCTAGGTTTGGCAAATATTCTAGTATCCAGAGAAGGTCACAAACACTCTGCCCTTTTCATAGTGCTAAATGGGAGAGGTCCTGATCAGAGGAGGTTGGGACAGGGATGGTCTCTGTATGGAAGAAGATGAAGTCTCACAATTTTAGCATATACCAAATTAAATGATTTAACCACGTTGCCTTTAATAAAAGGCAATCCAGAGTGAGCATACGTTACCAACCTACATTTGGTAGGAGGTGACGAAGGTAGTTTCTCTCCCCCATGTGTTCCGGGATTATGCAGAGAAAGGAACACTCCCTTCGCTTTTCATGAAGTTGCATTGTAAGGATCAGCCACCTGCATGATTTGCAACAAGGTTCCTTCAGCTTCCCAGGCAAGCAGATTGTTTGCAGTACCTCAAATGCACCACAGTGCTAAGCCACAGGGGAAATAGCTTTAGGAAGAAGACTTGTAAAAGACATGAGTTACTTCAACGGGCAGGGTCCATTACCGCTCCTGGCTGCAATAAGGGAAGGAGCTAGAAGGTAGGGACAATAATGCACAAGGAAAGCCTCTTTGTACAAGGAATAGCAACCGGAGAACAGAGGGTTCAGGCCTCCTGCCTGCCTCTCTGCACCTCCATCCCCTCTTTCTGACACTAAATTAGGCAGGGTAGAGCGAAGGCAGGGTAGAGATGCACCTTATAGACTAACTAGGCATATCTACATGTTCACTAATGCACCTCAGATACTTCTTAATAAAGTACTAACTAAATGCGCAGTACCTAAAGTTACTGCACAATAGCACTGGCGCAGTTATTTAGTGACACTTACTGCGCATTAGCCTAATAACACTGCACAGTAAGCTATTAGCATGTTTTTTTGCCATGATGCGCTTCTGTGCAGTGTTATTAGGCTAATGCACAGTAAGCATCTCATGTAGACGTGCCCACTAAAAGCTTATGCATGTCTGATTCAGTTAGTCTGTAAGTTGCAAGCTCTACCCTGCCTTCTGCCTGACATCAGACTAACACAGCTAACTACCTCTCTAATTTAGGTGGGGTGAAGGGAAGAGAGAGACAGAGATTTTTTGCAAGTGGCCTTAAAAGGGAAGTCTTTGCCAGGGAAAGGCGTGGCAGCTTCTCAGACATACAAAGCAACAGACTAGTGAATATATACTAGAACAAGCTAGCAACACAGGCACCCCTTACATTGCCCTCTGTTTTTGCATATCTGAATGGAAAAAGGAAAGAAAAATCAATGAGCCTTCAACAGTCAAATAAAATCAAAATTCTCTGTAAACATTTTGGATATTTCTTTTTCGAGTAAGATAATCCCCCCCACCCAAAGAGAATCTGATTAGGGACATTAAAAATGGAAATTCAGAACTGCACGCTCCGGTCTCGGAAGAAGCCCTCAGCTACTTGTGCTTCTCTGAAGGTCACGGTAATGGAGTTGGCCGTGATATCCGTCACCGTCACTTCGCTGGGGGGCACAGTGGGGATCCAGGGGAGGCTGCCATCAACTGCATCCATGTCTGCTGCAGACAGAGAGGCAGATAAGAGTAGGTTAGAGAAAGAAAGATGGCGGGATGGAAATGGAGCATCCTTGCTGGCTATGGGGCAGGGGACATCAGTATGTGCCAAACTTGCACGTGCATCAACACGCAAGTGCGTATCTAAGCTGCTGTATAGAAACCAAGGGGAAGGGGAAGATGCAAAAGAAAGAGAGAGAAGACAGAGCAGCAAGGATCACATACACAGTTATCAGTGCACAGGTGATGATAGGACCCAGCAGTGTTGCCAGACTTATGGGTCCATCAGTAGTTTTATTATATGCTTCCCATCCTTTTCCCAAACACTGAAGCAGAAGTAAAAATATTCATTCTTTGGGTATATCTGATAACTAGATCTTACCCTATTCAGTCCCCTTCTTAGCAAGTGTGTCACCCAAGTGTAAAATCAACTCCCCCCAACTCCCCGCATCCTATTCAGTCCAAGAGGCAGGATCTGATCTTTCTGGATTCTTCCCAGACACCCTATTCCACAGCAGTCTAAGGCCATGTCTATTCTGCCTCCTTGCCATTGAAAAAAAGATCAAGCCCCACCTGCATATTCATCACCACTCAGTGAGCATCCAAGCCCCCCAACTGGCAGAACAGACAGCTTGAGTGCATGCTCCAGCACTGCTCTTAGGTTCTCTCAAAACAGAAGCCCTGAGAGCAACATTGGCATGTGGGCTAAGGACCCCTATGGGCAGTCTACACTACCTTTTTGCCAGGCTTTGATACACGCAGAGTGGGAGCAAGCTCAAGTCTTGGGGGCAGTTCTGGATTCAGCCAAGAGGTGGTACAGATCTGCCCTGTTAGGGGGAAGGATCCTCCCTTCATTGCAGTGCCAACCCAGCCAGGGGAAGGGCTGGATGCGACTCTCCCCAAAGTCAAACTGTGCCACCCTTTTGCAGTCTAAAGGCACAGAGTTCTCCCCTCTTCACTCCTTCCCCAGGGAGGAGAGAAAGTTCAACACATGTTTAACTCCCCTTGAACTCCTTCCCTTAGCTAGAAGAAGCTAGGCCTCAAAATTTCCCCTACTTCCACAGTGAGAAAACAAAACTAGACAACACCCTCCCCATAAACATCCAAAGAGCAGCATGAAACTATGTGCAGAGAGAAAGGGAAGACCCCCTTTCCATTACTGCACCTGTTGCACCCCGTTGTCCCAATTCAGGTACACAACTACATAAGTGGGGAATTTCTTGGCTCGTCTCAGCCCCCTGAAGTGGGCCTGCTCTCACCTCAAGAAGAATCTGCTCACCCGGACACTAACTGGAATCCTGCAGGGGATGCACGTTGAGGGGAGAACAGAAAATTAACCATATGATACTGCTAGCAGCTTAAATCTTTCAGACCCCAAAGCAGTTTACAGGCTGCTCAGGCAAGCATCACATCACCCACCACCCACATGCAACAGGACAGCCCCACAATAACATGGGCACTCCATGAGCAACTTAGACAGGAGACCAAGGATTTCTCCTCTGGAGATAGATGGTGTGAAGGCTGGGGGATGGGGAAGAGTTTAGGTTATTAAAGCTACTTAGCACTAGGGTCCAGTCTATTTCCAGCTTGGGTAACAACTTACTACTATGAGGAGTGCCACAATTTCTAAGCTACCAGAAATGAGGCAAACCCTGGTTCACCTCTCCTCAGGAAGGCTACCCTTTCAAATGCTTGTGTTATCCATCATGTATGGTTCACTGCTGTCTTGGAGCAATGTACGCTCCCACCTGAGGGACCAAAATCACCCTGTGAAGCTCCTGAGTTTTGCTTAGGTGCTGGCCACAAAGTGATGTTACTCAGTTTGTAAGATAAGGTAAATTACAATTCCTTTTCCCATCCCTCCCTCCCTAATCCAACTATGCACGGTTTTAACGAGAGAATTAGTGGGGCGATAAAGGGGGGAGAACTGGGCTCCTAGGGACAGTTGGGCCCATGCCTTCAAGTGGCACTGCCAGAGGATTCAGACATGAATTATTTCATGGAACAGCTCCCTTTACCAGGTGAGCTAAATGAACGTGTGCTGAAACAGCACAAAACACACAGTTCATTGCCACAACAGAGATAAGCCATGCCTCTAGTGTGGCAGCTGGGAGGGGAATCAGCACTAACAGCAGTAGCTTGTGATTTTATAGTATTAGGATGGCAGTGGTTACCAGTATAAGAAAACAGATAGGCAACACAGCAGAGGCAAGCAGATTGGTTAGTTGGACCACTTGCACACACAAAGGCATTGGAGAACATGGGGACTATGACACCGCCAGCTGGTGCCTGAGACTGCACTGTGAAGAACTGATCCACGCTGATCGAGAGTGCAAGGAGGAAGACCTGAGGGTCATGCTCACGCCCCTGAATTCACAGTCCAATGGGGCTTTGAACCTTACCTTCTTGGCTGGCAGGCTGCGTACCATCCCAGTCGCTGGGAGTCTGCTGAGCATCAAGCGCCACTGGGTCCTTCAGGAAGAACTCACGCCTGCGGTTACGGCTCTCCAGGCTTGACACACGTGGAAATTTCTTCCGTGACAACCGCAGATACTTCTGGTTTTTGCGCTGCTTCCGGAGTGGGAATGGCAAGACCCCTCCCCCACTCTTCTCTGATAGCTCTGTCTGCCCTGATTTGGCCCCTGGCAAGCTGCTGTCTCCTCCTCCTCCGCCGCCACTGCCGAATCTCCTTGAAAGAGAGAAGCAGAGCTTCTCCTTTCCCTTGTGGGTGCTTCTTAGGTCCATGCCATACAGCCTCTGTGGGCAAGAGCGCAGCAAGAGCATTGGGCATTCCAGACAACAGCACAAAAACAACGGGGGTTTTGGGGCCCTACCGGGGCAGGACAACAATCAAGGGCAAAAGCATGCTGCAAAGAAACTAAGCCCAGGTAGGGCTCAAGACAACTGTGTGAAGTCAGAGCCCAACAGTGAGACCAAGTGCAGCACAGAACAGTCACCTGACAGAGGAAAGGTCACTTGACATAACACTGATCAAAGTATCAGAGGACCCAGGTTCTTGTCTTACCTATGCCAAGATCAGTGTGATATTGAGTGACCCTTGTCACCTCTCTGCCCCATCTCTCCTCACACTCACTGCCTGTCCTATAAGTGCTGAGGCACGGAGCATCTCACAATGTATTTGTCCAGGGCTCAGAGCAGCAAGATCATGATTTTCACTAGAACCCATTAGTCCTACCATAGTAACAAGCGTAGATGGAAACCCCACTGTCTGCTCTACTTAAAGTTGAAAGCATGCCCTTGGGCAGAATACCAGGGGAAAGGTGTGAAAGGGAAAAGCCAATTACTCCCAGAATCTTTACTATCTCATTTGAGTACCTCATTAAAACAGCACTGGCAAAGAATCAGGGTCACTCGTGTGCTACTGTGGAACTCTACCTCCATTTGGCTAATGACTTTGGCATACTACAGCGCCATAACTCAACTTAAATTTAGACAGCACACAAGCAAGGAGTGTCTCTTTCAGGGCAGATATCTAATCTAGGGATTCCAGGCCATTCTACTGTCGTGCTATGCATTTTAAATTCTTCTGTGCACAAGGAAAGTGGTGAAATCTTAGGATCCTAGAGAAGTAAGGCTGGAAGGGAACTCCAGAGGTTATCTACTTCAAGCCCCTGCTTAAGACAGGATCAGCCCTATCCAAACCAACCTATACAAATCCAACGTCTAACATCTTAGCAAAATTACACAGCAAACCCTGATACTACACAAGATATAACACTCTTAACCTCGCCACGGGTAAAGCACAGAGACCACGGAGGCCAGTGTCCCACTCTTGGAAAGGTTGTTAATGATATGTTATGATCAAGAGATCTCAAGGAAGAGAGCTAGACCCCCAGCTACAGAGGAAGGCAAAAAACCCTACAGTCCATACCAGTATGACCATGGGATAAAATTCCCTGAGCAGAGAGGCAAGACTCTTTAGCCAGAAACCTCTGGCTTTAAGTCCCAGTAGGAGCATTGGCACACCCCAGTCACAATGCCCAGCCTTGGCTGCAGACAATGCTTCTGAGGAAGGCTTATACAAAAAAAAACCCCAAACCAAGAAAAAACAACTGCCCCACCACCAACATGTAGCGGGGGGCACGCCCCCCCACCCCCAAAGTGTGGGGGGGGGGGGGGGCGCGGCGGCAGTGCAGCAGCAACTGGAGTGAGGGAGGAGGTGCTAGGCATAGGTACACCTAGATCATCCCTGACCAGTGGCTGCCCAATCTCTCCTTGGACACTTCCCACAATGTAGAGTCCACAATTTCCCTAGGCCATCTAGTCCATTGCCTCACTGTTCTGACAGTGAAGAAGTTTTTCCCTGTAGTTGTAACATGTGTTAGCTGGTTTAAATTAATGCAAGGGGGAAATCCAGGGCTCACCTTAAACAGTCAGTGGGTTAGAAGTCCACACTGGAAGATTGATGGGTACCATAACAGAAAAGCTGGGGATAAAAGAGAATACACCAAAGAAGAGTGAAAAGTTACCTGCAGTAAGAGGCGCTTTGGCTTGGGGCCTCTCTTCCTGTACCCTGATGCACGATCTTTTTCTTCCCTGTGGGGAAAAGGGGAGGGGGCAAGGGACAAAAACATGAGGGGACAACAAACCAAACACCACGTACCACCAAACCTCACTGGCCTGCACCATAAATGAGGACAAAAATCCCTGGCTTGCGGGACTGAAAATCTTATTATGTGGAAAACTTTACAGCTTAGCTGTTTGACTTTGGGGTGTGAAGTTTGTCACCTCTCTGTGATCTGTTTAAACCAGGGGTGGGCAAAATGCAGCCTGGGGGCTGGATGCGGCCCTCCAAGCCATTCTATCCAGCCTGCAGGGCCCCTAAAAAAATTTAGAAAATTATTATTTATCTGCCCGTGGCTGCCTGTCATGTGGCCCTCAATGACTTGCCAAAACTCAGTAAGTGGCCCTCTGTCCAAAATAATTGCCCACCCCTGGTTTAAACCAACCCAGTGCTGGCTTAGGACTTGGTACCAAAAGCTGTGGGGGACCAGGTATTGATATCACAGACCTGCCTCAACAAGGTCCCGTGGCATTATCCAAGGGCTGAGACTAAGCTGGACCATGGTCATGGTGAGGTTGGAGGCACACTTGCAAGACAGTAGAAATGTTAGGAGCAATGCTGCCCGTGTTGCATCTGTTCTGTCAGCTACAAAAAGTTCTGGGTCTAAGTTTACTAGGTTTGTCTCTAGAAGAGGGAAAGAAGATCGCATGGCCTCTTACTTCTCTTCATAAGCCACCACAAGGCGAGGGTCCAAGATGTGTTCCTCTGGCTCCCACGTGCTGTATCTGAAGAAACATGAGGAAGGAATATAGAAAACACACAAACAAATACATTTACCCAACTTCAATAAAATATTCTCTCTGCTGGGGCCACTACTAGTACTAGCCAGGCTCCCTGAAACCTACCTCCCACAGTCACTCTTCAGCACATGGATGGGGCCTGCCGTAACACAGTTAGTGCCTGAAGACTCCCCATCATCTGTTTTCTCTTGTACCCCTGCCAGACATTCCCTAAGTTGATCAAAACCCTGGGCTGTCAGCTTGTCACAGCAGATTAGGGAGGGCTTCCTCCATAGGGCCCCTCTTCAAGCCATTAGCAAAAGTCAGCTACAGCACTCAGCACAGAGTATCACAAGCTGCCTTCACCACCAAAGGTTTAGCAAGCCTGATTTGCAGTACTCCCACCAATGCAGGACACAAACTCAGGTTCCAGTGCATGGTGAAACACTAAACTCTATGACAACAGGCTTTGCTTGCAAGGAAACAGGAAGCTGATGCACTCTTCAGCGTAAGTGCCTTCGCTGGTGTTATTAATTTCCTTTGATCACTGAAGCCGAGGGGCTGCAATAAAGTACCACATATTCTCAAGCAAAACCAGCACCTTTTTCTTTTTCCAAACCAGTGCCTGGAAACTGGAGTGCACACTATGTGCAAGAAATACAGTAGGAACAGTTTCTGTCATTTTCTGGGCAAGAGCTAAAGTAAAACGTGCATGTGACCCACACACAGCAGAAGAGTGAGCAGACCCAGCTCCCTTGCTACTGCTACTCAGTTACTTGCTACAAGGAAAAAAAAAAAAACACCTTTCTCTCTTCATTCTGTCTTTGAAAAACAAGGTGTGTACCTTATTCCAGGGCACGTGATATGCAAGAAAATACAGTACTTAGGTTGCTTTTTCCAGCTCTCGTTCTAAGACACCTCGATCTGAGGCCTAAAGCAAATTGACAGTGACCCTTCAGACCTTTTGGCCATTTTTTATCCCTCTTCATTTATCTTCCTGCTACCAGAAGTGTTTCCTCTACCAGCTTTTACAATCGATTGTAAATTGGGGAAAGGGTATGCATTTAGCTGTAAGGGGCAGGGCAGCTACCTAGCATAAGCCAGGTACTAGGGCACAGGCCTAGAAGCAGCACTTCTGTGCTCAGTACCAAGAAGCCAGCCTCACAGTGTAAGAAGGCTGTTGGTCTAGTTTTGCACCCCTGCCACTAAGCTGCCAAGACAAGAATCAGGGAGGGGGGGGGGGGGGGGGGGGGTGCGTGTGGATATCAAAGAAGAGAAACTACAACCACGGGACAGAATCTCTATGAAAGCTGCTTGCTGGAAAATGCTGCAGCACAGAAACACCAAATGCAAGAGAAAGGGCAATTCTGGAAGGCTCATTACTCAGAGGACGAGTGTGACTGGGGAAGAGAGATGGTGTGCGTCTGGAACGCCGATCCGAGCAGGGAGGAGGACAGCTTTATTAGGACAAAATGTTCTAGAACGATCCACGTCCTGAACACAAAATGTCTGCAGTCCACACACCAGGGCCCACAGGGTGCATTTAGAGCAAGGCTGTCTAACTTCAGAGTGTGGGGGGCCTGCAGGAGGTTGGGGGTTCTGGGATGCACACCATGCAGGCTGCAGGGACTGTATAGGCTCCCCAGGACCCCTGCTGCGTGCAGCCTTCCTGGGAGGCAAGCAGCATGAGCCCCCCCTCTGTCACCGTGTCAGCAATCCCCCTCCCTCCTTCCCATTGCTGCTGTGTAAGCACTCCTAGCCCCCTGCCCAAGACCCCCAGATGGTGCTGGTTGTGCGAGCAGGGAGCTCTCTGGGCCTCCCGCCAAGCTGTCCTGCCCCAGAGACTCTGGCCGCCTCCACCACAGCAGCAGAAGCAATGGGGGCAGTGGTGGCTGAGCAGGAGCCTGTGCACGTTAACTCCTTGCAGACTGGATGTGGCCCACGGGCCACCAGGTAGACTGCTTTGATTTAGGCGATTGTGTTGGTACAAGCATCTCTAGGGCAGGGTGGAAAGTGTTGGAGAATGGCTCATGTTTCCTGGAGGAAGAGCTACAAGCTGTGCACCTGCACAGAGGGTAGGGGAGGTTTCAGAGTATTCACTCAGGTAGAAAAGAGGGACCGAACTATAGATTTCTGAGAACAGTTCCAGAAACCTGGGCACAGATTTATCAGAGAGAGAGAAATGGAAAACTACTGAACCCAAACCCTCCAAGGCAAGCTGTGCCTCCCAGAGACTATGGATTCTGCACAGGGTTAACAATGTTGACCCCTCTCTTCCCTTTCCCCTCACCCTAATTATCTCTCTCCCATCTTTTCAACCAAGCCTCCAGTCCCCTAAGTGCCTGTGGGCTGCCAAAGTCAAGATGCTATTTGACCTGAGGAAGGTTTTATTCTCTCCCTCTCTCCCAGATACAGAGATTTTGGCATTTATTCCTAGAATGGGGGGGAGGGGAAAGAGTTAGAGGATTCCTTTTCTGGGAGCAGGGGGATTTATTACAAAACACTGGTGGGTGTTTCCTTTTGCCACTGCAGTGAAGCAGGAAGCTTAAGCTGCAGAGGAAAACACTGCATATATAAAAAAAACATGGCTCAATTTGCCACACACACACAGATACACGCGCACACACACAGAGTCCAGGCTGCAGCAGAACCCCAGAGCGCAGGCGCACAGGCAAACACAGATCATATGATCTTCCTTCCCCCTCCACCTCCCCTCCTACTTCCAACCCAAGTTGTAAACAAGCTTGTAGCTGACTCAGATCTGTAACTCTTCAGTTCCCTGATTCCAGCACTGCAAAAGACTGATCTGACAGGTGCAACACAGGGTAATTTTAGAGGGGCAGGTAAAAATACAGGGGGGGGAGGAAAGCAGTCCTTGCACAGATCCCCTGCCACCTTCCATCAAATCATGATAGGAATAACTGAGACAGAAATCAGCTAGAGCCTGCACAAAGAGGTAAAGAGAAAACCAAGGTGGAAGAATGATATGCTGAGAGGTGAAAAAGCAAACCTATGAACACTGCACTCCTCTCTAGATGTCTGTATACAGTGTTCAAGGGCATAGAGCAATAACAGGAAGGAACAGAATTTATACATCAAAGCAACTAGGAATGAAGCACTGCTAGATAGGAAGGCAATAGGTTTCAAAAAGAAATGAGGTTAATCAATGTTTTATTTGGGAGCATTATGGTGGCAAAATAAGTGATCCCTCTTGCCTCTCAAACCCATGAAGCTGTGGATTCAAATTTCCAATGCCATTTTGGTTCACTGCGAATTTCAAGGGGTATAAGGAGTAAAAGAAAAAGACAGTGTTGTCTCCTGTTTTGTAAGAAGAAATATTTTACATCAAACTTCAGTCTTGCTGACTACTGACCACATAACAAAATAAAATAGCTGTCAAAAGGACACAGCAACACAGCAGAAAGGTACTATTGCACCAAAAAGCACTGTTGGCTAACGACCAGTGTTCTGACCCAAACAGAGGGTTGTGCTTGCAACGGTAGTTACTTCCAACCTATAACCCTGTCCTGAAAGCCTGAATACACAAAGATGAAACTAAGTCTGAAAGCAGCAGGCCCAGAGGAATGATTGGTATTCTCTTGCCTAGGGTGAAGTAGATTGCAGAATTTTGCAGTGAGAAAAAAATCTCCCCTTCCAACTCCAGGCAGAGACCATATATGTGTGCACATTTATGCATGCACCATTGTAAGGCACCCAGGGCCATGTTTAAACTTCTTTTGGAACAGGGAGCCCATTCCATCAGCAAGTTACATCTAACCTTGTCACTCTGCAAGGTTGGTGCAGTGATAACAAACCTCAGTCTTTACGTCTGTCTATGTGTGCCCATGCAGCATGCTTACATATAGATGTTCCTATTAGACACACAGCCGACACATTACTTGTACCACAATCTTTTACATCTCAAAGCACTTTACAGACTGTGGACATAGGGGACAGTCCCTCCATAGTGAAATGCAGCCACTTCTGGGGCAGAATAGAGTAGATACAAAAAGCACACAGGAACATTAAAAAAATACCATTTATGGCACAAAAAGAAAATTCCCAGACCCATGGGAAAAACAGAGCAGAAATCTTGAACAGGCAACACTAATTCTCTCAACTGGATAATGACCAGTAAATATGAGTTGGTAGCTCCTCTCTTGTGAAGTGTGACAGGGAATCCTTAAGCATAAAAGGCAAGGTTCCCTGTTTGTCTCACCTGAAATATAGCA